AGGACAAAAACAAATGGTAAACGAGGAGGAAGCAGGAAAAGACTGCAGTCAGTGTGACAAATCAAAATGTGCAGAAACTGTTGAATGGAAAATCAATTTTCTCTGTAAACTTTTACCCAAATCACAATAAAAAGTTAAGCAAGTAAATTTTGCCAAAGATTTCTCTGCTAGTGAATAAAAAGCCAGGATTTGGACTCATCCTTATCCGATTCTAAAGCCTGATTTTTCCTCATTGGAAACTTGAACACCACTCTTTGATCTATAATTTGCAAACAAACAGTAAAATCCTGCTATGATAACAGGTAATAAAACAAGGCTAAAGCTACCAATAAAGGTGTACAATCCCTATCTCTAGGAGCTCTGGTAGCATAGTGCCTAAGGCACTTGACTGCTAACCAGAAGGCTGGCGGTTCAAACCCACCAGCCACTCCTCGGAAGGAAGATGGGGCAATCTACTTCCGTAATGATACTGCCTCGGAAACCCAAGGAGGGGTCGCTATGAGTCGGGTTTGACTCGACGGCACATAACAACAACAACAACATTCTTTGTTATCAAAATCTATCTATCTTATTGGTTCTGTTCCTCTGGTAGAATCCTCACTGTCTATAAGCATCTTACAGATTTAAAAAATTTGATAAAGATTGTTGTATAGTTGAGTCAATTCCAACTCATAGTGACCCCATGTGACAGAGTACTGCCCTTTAGGGTTTTCTGGGTAGGCTATAAATTTTATGGGAGCAGATCACCAGGTCTTTTCTCCAGAGCTACTGGATGGGTTCAAACCACTAACCTTTTGGTTAGCAACCAAGCTCTTAACTCTTGTGCCACCAGAGCACCTTCTGTAAAGATACAGCCAAGAAAACCGTACGGAGCACAGGTCTACTCTATGGCACATGGGGTTGCTGTGAGTCAGCGGCTGACTCCATGGCAGCGAAGAACAACTAACAATAACACAGACATGCTCAGGGCTCCACCCACTAATCAACAGTTAGCTTAACCTGTTTCCATCTCAAGCTTCTGTCTCTCCTTCCCTTAATGACCAAACTTCTTTTTTTTTTTTTTTTCTAAATTTTTCTTGTGATTTGGGTGAAAGTTTACAGAGCAAATTCACTTTCCATACAACAGCTCACATACACTTTGTCTCATGACAGTGACTGCAATTTCCCACAACGCAACAGCTGCCCTTCCACTTTCTCCCCATAGTTACCTCTTCCATGTGTCCTCCCCTCTAATGCTCTCCTGCTCGCCCCCAGCTGTCTCCCCATGATTGATCTCTCCAAGGAGTGTATCTACCTAATGTAAATGTTCAGCTGATATGCCTGTCTTCTGCTTGGCTGCAAGCCACTAGGGGCCACAGCCTCAGGGGTTCCACCAGGCTCTATCAGACTAGCAAACCTGGTCACCCCCCCTTTTTTCTTTTTTTTTATGATTTTGAATTTTGTTCCACATTGTTCTCCCACTCTATCCAGGATCTCCTACACAGATCCCCCTCCGAGTGGTTGACAGTGGTGGCCAGGCACCATCTAGTTCTTCTGGTCTCATAGTCATAGAGGCTGAGGATCGCATGGTGTACCAGTCACTTGGACTAATTATATCTGTGTGTCTTTGGTTTTCTGCATTCTTCTTTGCTCTGAACGAAGAGAGACCCATCATTGCATCTAGATGGCCACTTGCAAGCTATTAAGATCCCAGTCACTACTCACCAAAATAGGATGTGGAACAATGTTTTGTGTAGTATGTTATGCCAATTGAGCTTGATGTTCCCTGCAACCATGGTCCTGAGCCCACAGGTCCAACTATTTGCTCCCTCTGGGTAGCTGGCTGTGGCCAAGAAGTGACTACAACTTTGTCCTTTTACAAATACACTTGTAGAAACATTGTCTGCCAACCCTATATATGATAACCAAACTTCTTAAAAAAGCAGGCCACACTCACTTTCTTGGATTCCATAATTCTTGGTTACCCTTAAGAACACTACTCTCTCAAAATACAAATGAAGCTGATGAGAGCCTGTTACTATCATGAGGGAAGCCTCACCTACACTCCAAAGGCCCGTTACATATTATCATGAGGGTCACTTTACCTATATTCCATCCTTTTAGCTTAATCACTTTATTTGTTTGTTTTTACAGAAGTAGCGCATGATGAGCCAGGAAAGGAACACAGGCAGAGTGACCAGGACAAACAGGACCTGACCCAAGTTGGCAAAGTCCTGATGACTTATGCCAGTGCAGCGGGACCAACTGCTCTCTTCAGATGATCTAGGAGGAACCATGAACTACTCTGTGCTGGAAGGAAATGTAATATTAGGGGTCTAATCCAAGAGGGATAAAATTAAGAATCAAGGGGTCCATTGGCCACTTCCAGCCTCCAGCCTGAGCCTGCCCCTGATAATTATTAGATTTTTCCAGAAATAAGTTGAATATGTGTAACTTCCCCTTTCTTGAACCCTACAAAAGCTATACCCTAACCCTCGAGCTGAGAGTCAGATTTGAGCATGGCCCCTATCTCCTTAACCTCTGCATGGTAATAAAATCACTTTCTCTTTCATCAAAACCTGGTTTGTCCTATCTCCTGGCCATTACAGCACACCAGCAGGGACCCACTTTGGTCTAGCTTCACAAAGTGTTATGCAAACTAACTTATCAATAATATTAATATCAAAAACAAAACAAAAAACCTGGCATGGCTGCTATACCTTCAATTTTGACAGCTAGGAGGGAGGGAAACCACCCCCACATTTGAAAATTCACTAGAAAGACTCATGGATCTCAGAATATAGTTGTACTAAAGGCTAAAATTTATTACAGAGACTAGTAAACCACTCCTCCGAAGGAAGACTGGGCAATCTACTTCAGTAGAGACACTGGCTCGGAAACCCAAGGAGGTGTCTCTATGAGTTGGGATCGACTTGACAGCAGTGAGGCTTGAGTTTAGTAAGGATACACAATCAGATCATAAGGGAAAAACACACAAGCAGAGTCTGAAAGATTCCATGTGAGGCTGCTTCATGCTCTCTCCCGCCCATGAAGGGTCACAAAAAGGGCACTCTTCCCCCCCCAGTAACAAAAAAACGGTGCAATGTTTCTGTCCAGGGAAATTCATTAGAGATTCAGAGCCCAGTTTTTAGTTGAGATCTAGTCACACTTTCTGCCTAACACATAAGGCATTCAACATAAACCAGACTGAACAAACAGCCTAGGAATAGTGAGCCACCCTTATCAGTTAAGGAAAAGCAGGAATACTCTAGAAATATAGATGTGCACCAAGGGCCCACCCTACAAGCAGTCCTTTCTAAGGTGAGCAGATTCAAGCCTGCTATGTTAACTCTTCTGCACCATCTGGCTCCTCCTGTCCCCCTAAAAGATGTCCCTTAACATCCAGTCACAACCCTATCATGTCTCCCTCCTTCCATGTTCTCTTCCTCTCATGGTTCTAACCAATCTCTCCCTACAAGTGATGCCTAAACTAGAATCACAACTTTGCAATTCAGATCCACCTCATGCCTGTTCTCTCAATGGTAATGGAGTCCAAGCTAGAGTGTTGTGTGAGATTTCCAAAATTTGAGATGCCTGACTCAAGCGTAAGAAAGATCAACCCAACTCCATCTTGGCTTTTGCTTATTTCCCTTACAACCCATCACGCCATTAGACAGACTGAAGAACATAACAAAAGATTTCCCCTGCAACTGACAAATCCTTAGACATAACAAAGGAAATGGTTTTTCTCTATGGTTAAACTAAAGATATGGAAAAAATCCTCCTAAGAGAGGGTCTTGACCCCAAGATCCCTATCAGAAATCCCCTCAGCAGTCCTCAGGAAATGTTTCAAGATAATTACCATAAGACCACCCTGCCAAACCCACCCTTACTGACATATTTAAACTTACCAATCTAAATAGTCCAACTAATCCAAAAAGCCCACATTCCTGTTCACAACCAATCACTGTAAAGCACCACTCCTTTAGGGCTCTCCAGCCTTCAGCTTCCTTGATTTTGCAACCTCTAATCAAAATGTTTTATCTTTAGTTCTTGATATTACCTCATAAAAATGCCTGTTACACCTCCATTTTGGAGCCTTTGATTTCACTTTGTGAACTGTTTTGAGCCTTCAATAAATGTCTTTGCTTTCATTTTAACAGAGTACATGGATTTCTTACTTGTTGACAGTTTTAACAAAGAAAATACAGGATCCCTTCTCGGATCTACTACTAAGCGGTGGCATGCCTCAGGACTAGGTCCTAAGAACCCTAGGAAGAGGTGGTTGTGAAGGGTTTTCTGGGCAACTTCAGACTACTGTCAAATGGGGGAGGTGGAGCTGTCTTTGTCTCTAACCTCTGACCTCCCCTCTACCCCAACCCGAAGGTAACTCAGCTGGTTCACCCCAAGGGCACTAAAACTGTGTTAGAGGAATCAGCAGCGGAGGGACACATAAGTGCAGCAAAGCTACGAGCAGGGAACTCCTGCATGATCCCTGGACCTATCCCAATTCCCACCTATGCCTGAGAGTAGGCATTTTATTACGAACACTAGATTCAGCTTTGCTTCTTTCCTCCTTCCACCCCCACTACCTCCACTAACTAGGCTAAAGTGATGCACCAGTTGGTGCTAGTATTAAATACAAAAAATGTTCTGAGGTTCATATATAGACCACCAACCAAAAGGAATCTATCTCAGTGGGGCAGCCCCTGGAAAAAGAAAGGGAAAGTGCGGGGGAGGGAGAGTGGGGCTTTCTTGGTGGTGGCGGGATTGTAAGGACTCGCCCTTATGCCTAAACCACTGAGGACTGGAAAGAGGAGGCCCAGCAGGCCTAGACCAGGGTCTCGCAGCAGCAGCCGCTCCGAGCCCGGGAGAGGGCGCCCCCGCGGGCCGCGCCTCCCTGGAAGGCCCCGCCGCGGCAGCTTCCCAGGTCCCAGCCTTCCTCAACTCAAGGTTTTGCACTGCCCTGGGTTACTACGTGTGTCACCCCCGAACGCAGCCAGCTGCGGGGCCCCGCCTACCTCCTCCCCGGAATAGCGGGCCAGCTCCTCCTCCGTGAAGAGGCGCACCGGCGGCCCTCGCTCGGCGGGGCGCGGTGTCTGCCCAGCTCCCGCCGCGGGGAGCCCGGAGGCCAGCGCCAAAACCAGGACCAACACTGCCAGCGGCCGTAGCCGCCACCCCGGCACGGGGGCCGCCATGGTGAGCTCGCCGAGCAGGGCGAGGGGCAGCCTCGGCGGCGGGCGGAGCCCGTGCCCTCCGGTCCAGCAGTTTCGGAAACCCGCCCCGCGCGCGCCTGGAGGCCGCGGGCCGCCAATGAGGCTTCCGCGTGCCTTCTACTCTCCAATGCCCTGCGAGGCAGGTTGGGCCTGTGAGGAGCGCCCAGCTAGTCACCCTGCTAAGCTACTGGCTGAAAGTTGGGCGATAAACTATATTACAGCATTTCATTGAGTAGTTACATTCATGATGCACCCCAGACTTCTAGCACTTTAGGATGGTTTATTCATGAGTCCCCAACTTTACTGATTCAAGTTCATTTTTGGCTGATATTCCCACCCCCCATCGTGTTTAAATTTTAGGTCCTAAAGGGGATATTTGCAAATTGTGGGAAACAGCTTCCAGACTTGTCCCTAAATAATAGCTAACATTCGTGTAAGTCTCCGTTCATTACTTTATCCAACAAATATATTTTGAGGGCCTCTTTGTGCCAAGTCAACTGGGAACATATGCTGAGCAAGACAAAGATCCACTCATATGGAGCTTACATCCCATGGGCAAGATAAAACAGCAAGTAAGGTAAAACATATGTTAGATGTGATAAATAAATACTAAAAAAAAAAAAAAAAAAGCAAGGAAAAGGGATAGAGATTATTATTGAGTATTGCTCTTCTCCTGGGTATCCCATGGTAACTCACTTCCTCCTTCAGGTCTTTCCCCAAATCTCACCTTACCAGCAATGACTTCTCTGAGCACTCTTTTTAACAGCAAACTCCACTGGCAGCACATCCACTACCCTGCTTTATTTTTCTCCCTAGCACAGATGGCCTTCTGACATTCGTTTATTTTCAGTCTACCCTCTCTAGAATGTGAACTCCATGAAGGCAGGACTCGTGTGTTTTTTATTCACTGCTATATCAGGAGCTCTGGTAGCGCAGTGCCTAAGGCACTTGACTGCTAACCAGTCAGTTTTGCACTTGACTGTTCAAACCCACCATCCACTCCTCCAAAGGAAGATGGGGCAATCTACTTCCATAGATGAAAAAGGCTGAGAAGCAATCCTGAAGAAATCCAGTAATTAGCAACAACAGGAAGCCACCATCCTGCCAGGTAAAGGGAGGAAATGGTGTTACTAGAGTCCAGGGGTCTTGGCTGGCTGTAGCTAACCAGTTGCCATGGTTAGCTTCATGATTCTGACTCATGGTGACCCCATATGTGTCCAAGTAGGACTGTGCTCCATAGGGTTTTCAGTGGCTGATTTTTTGGCAGTAGATCGCCAGGACTTTCTTCTGAGGCACCTCTTGGTGGATTCGAGCCTCCAACTTTTCTGTTAGTAGCAGAGTATGTTAAACCTTTGGACCACACAGGGACTCCCGGCTAAAGGCAGGACCATGAAAAGCCTTTGCACCAGCCGTCTAAGATGCAACAATGTTGTCTCTCCTCATCTGGAGTAAAGAAGAATGAAGAAAACCAAAGACACATGGGAACAATTAGTCCAACAGACTAGTGGACTATTCGAATCTCAGCCTACATGACCCAGAGACCAGAAGAACTAGATGGTGGTGCCTGGCTACCACTGTCAGCTACTCAGAAAGGAATCAAAATAGGAGATCCTGGTTAGAGTGGGAGAAAAATATGGAGCAAAACTCAAAATCATAAAAAAGACCAGGCTTACTGGTCTGATAGAGATTGATGAAACCCATGAGTCTATGGCCCCTAGTCACCCTTCAGGCCTTGAATTGAACTCATTCCTGTGGTGTCCAGCCAAACAATAGACAGGCCTATGAGGTACCAAGGAGCTCTGGTAGCATAGTGGCTAAAGCACTTGACTGCTAACCAGAAGGCCGGCTGTTCAAACCCACCAACCACTCCTCGGAAGGAAGGTTGGGCAATCCTACTTCCGTAGTGATACTGCCTCAGAAACCCAAGGAGGGGTCGTTATGAGTCGGGGCCGACTCGACGGCACATAACAACAACAACAACAACATGAGGTACCAGGTAGGTACACTCCTTAGAACAATCAACTATGGGAGATCAAAAGGGCAGTATTTGCACAGGGAGATAGCTCAAGGGGCAGGAATGCATAGGAAAGAAAACACAGGGGAAAGGTAACCACAGGGAAGAAGTGGGAAGAGAGCTGTTATAGTATGGGGATTGCAATCAATGTCATGAAACAAAATGTATATTAATTGCTGTATGAAAATGAATTTGCTCTGTAAACTTTCACCCAAATCACAATTAAAAACAAACAAATGATAAAAAGCCCTTGCACCAGGGCCTGGAGTGGAGTCATGGAGAGAAGCTACTAGACACAGAGAACAAGGGAAAGAAAAATCCTGCCCTCTCCCTTGCCCTGACCTCCTCTCATCTCCCTGCAAGTACTTCCTCTTGACCGAACTCAGCAGAAACCCAGCCTGCAGAGCCAGTCCCTACAACCCAGAGCTGAGAAGAGGAAAGCAAGGACTGGCTGGACCCAGGCTCAACACAAAACAGCCTCTGCAATCTGGCCTGTACCTACTTCTCTTACTCTGTCTCCTATATGCCCTCCCATCACTCTCTCCCCTCAGCTCCACTGCCTTCTGCTTATGTTTCAACCTGGGCCTTTGTAATTGCTGTACTAGTTCCCTATGCCTGGGGTACAAGTCATCATGTGTGGGCTCCTTCTTATCATTTAGATCTCAACTCAAGATAACTCTCATCATGAGGCCTCTATTGACCCTCTAAGATAAATTAGTCTCCCTCATCCCCTCACAAGAAATATATCAGACAGTGTTTCACTGCTATTCATAAGGTTTTCACTGGTCAATTCTTTCAGAAGTGGAAAGCCCTGCCTTCCAAATCTGTCTTAGTGTGGAAGCTCTGCTGAAACCTGTCCACCATGACTCTGCTGGCATTTGAAATGCAGGTGGCATAGCCTCCAACTTCACAGCAACACACAAGCCACTGCAGTACAACAAACTGCACATGAAAGCTGGAAAATGAATAAGAACACTGAAGAAGAGTTGATGCTGCCAGAAGAACGAACAAATCTGTCCTGGAGGAAGTGCAGCAGGAATGCTCCTTGGAAGGGAGAATGGCCAGACTTTGTCTCACCTACTTTGGTCATGTTGTCAGAAGGGACCATTCCCTGGAGAAGGATATCATACTCAGTAAAGTGGAGAGTAGGTGAAAAAGGGGAAGACCTACAATGAGATGGATTGACGCAGTGGCTGCAACGAAGGGCTTGGGTAATAGCAAGGATTGTGAGACTGGCATAGGACCAGGGAGTGTTTTGTTCTGTTGTACATAGGGTCTCTATGAGTAGGAGTGGCACCTAACAACACAACAACCCCCTCACAATGGCCCTATCACTATCACATTTCCTGTTTTATTTTCTTTAGAGATCTTATCACTATAAGATATTATTTTGTTCATTTATTTATTCTACAAACTATTTGCATACCTAGTGCCAGGTACTGTTGAAGGCCTTGGGATATAGCAGTGAACAAAACATACAAGAGCCCTGCCTTCATGGAGTTTACATTCTAGAGAAGGTGGACTGAAAATAAATGAATGTCAGAAGGTCATCTGTGTTAGGGAGAAGAATAAAACAGGGTAGAGGATGTGCTGCCAGTGGGGTTAGCTGTTTAAATAGGGTGCTCAGAGAAGTCATTACTGATAAGGTGAGATTCGGGGAAAGACCTGAAGAAGGAAGTGAGTTACATGGGATACCCAGGAGAAGAGCATTCCAGACACAGGGAACGTCAGTGCAAAGTTTCTTAGGTCACCATGTGCTCAGCATGATGGAACTGAGTGAGGCAAATAGGAGTAAGAGGAAATGTTGGGGGTGGGGTAGATCCTACAGGATCTCATAGACCTTTGCAGGGGTTGAAGTAGAGGAGTGACATGATTTGTGTCTTAGTTATCCAGTGCTGCTATAACAGAGATATCACAAGTGGGTGTTTATTATTATTATTATTATTATTGTGCTTTGGGTTAAGATTTACAGAGGAAATTCACTTTCCATACAACAGTTCACATACACTTTGTCTCATGACATTGACCACAATTTACCACAATGCAACAGCTCCCCTCCCACTTCCTCCCAATAATTACCTCTTCCCTGTGTCCATCCCTCCATGCCCTCTTGGCCCCTGAGCTGTCTCCTGGTGCATGAGCAGCCTTTCTTTCTCCCATGATTGTTCTCTCCAAGGAGTGTATCTACCGCAGGTAAATGTTCACCTTATATGCCTGACTTTTGCTTGGCTGGAAGCCACAGGTGTGGATTCAATTCCAGACCTGAAGGGCGGCTAGGGGCCATAGTCTCCTTGGTTCCACCAGGCTCTGTCGGACCAGGAAACATGGTTCCCCCCCCCCTTTTTTTTTCCTCCAAATAATTTTGAGTTTTGTCCACATTGTTCTCCCTCTCTATCCAGGATCTCCTATGTAGACCCCTTCCAAGTGGTTGACATTTGTAGCCAGGCACCATCTAGTTCTTCTGGTCTCATACTCGTATAGGCTACAAATTGGATGGTTTACCAGTCGCTAGGACTAATTGTTTCCATGAATTTTTGGTTTTCTTCATTCTTCTTTGTTCTGGATGTGGAGAGACCCATTGTTGCATCTAGATGGCAGCTTGCAAGCTTTTAAGATCCCAGTCGCTACTCAATAAAGTAGGAGGTGGAACAACGTTTTGTGTAGTATGTTATGCCAGTTGAGATTGATGTCCCCTGCGACTATGGTTCCGAGCCCACAGGTTCAACTACTCAGTTGCTCTGGGTAGCTGGCTGTGACCAAGCAGTGACTACCATCTTGCCTCTTGTCAGCTCTACTATACACCTGGGAATTCAGATCATACATATAAACTTATAGGATCATTGTCTGCCAACCCTATATATACATGGTCTTGGGTACACTCCCTGCTTCATAGACATGCCTAATAGTTCAGCCTGTTCACCCATCTATCCACACGTATATCCACGTTTGCCTTCACTGACAACACAATACTGTATGTGCAAAGGGTTCATCTTTGTTTTGTTGTC